CTGCTGCAAGAAATTCTATTAGGAAAGTATTCTGGAAGCTGCTGTCCAGCTTTTGGGTGAAGTAGGAAGCAAATTCGTTTTCCATTCTTTTCCTGAATTTCTTAACATCCATAGTGGAAATAATGAAATGTACTCATGAAAACATGAGAAGCAATTTCAGTATGTCTTTACTTGCACGGATGACAAAACCTTTGTTGAACACTTTCCACTACACTTGAATTACATTAATTTGTAATTCTACAGAGCAAATGATATCTGTAATGTTTTCTATGCGCATTATATGGGAGACTGAGACACAAACTTTTTAACAGACGGTGAAGCGCAGACAATATAATCAAGTTTGAACTCAAGTAATTGGACTGTAAATGGTTAGAGATTAGCCTGAGAGGTGTTGGGTTAAATTAAAGGACTTTAGAAAAAAATTTAAATTTTTCTTTTATTGCAACCAAATTTAATTGATGCCTGAAGAGAAATATAAAGGACAATTGGAATGCTTAATTGTTCTATTGTAGGCTAATCATGCAATTTATATTTTAGAGGTAAAAAAAATGTTGGATTAATCCTACTGAGGGTACAAACACAATGTATAGATTGTTGACATTAGAAAATTTAATTAGACTTTTGCCATTTCTTAAGCTTAATTTCAATGGTTTATAAAAGGCCCTAAGGACATATTCCTAGGAAATGCCTATATTCTAACTTAGAGCACTTGTTCTTGACTGAAGTTGATTATGATCTAGTTTTAGAAATCAAGTCTAACCATTCATCCATGCATGCATCAGCCAATTTTTGAGGACTTAACATTCAGCAGCATTGTCTAGGAAAACCTACCTGGGTAAATGATTGTAAATGGTGTACAGTGTAAATACTGTAGCAGTTCTTTGGAGAGTTGGTTAATAAAGGGAAAACTAATCTGGGAGTTTCATCTGGAGAATCATATCCAGAGGTATTCCTTTGCATCTCTTGTTCTTTCTTCCTTACTTTTCCTTCCTTCCTTCCTTCCTTCCTTCCTTCCTTCCTTCCTTCCTTCCTTCCTTCCTTCCTTCCTTTTCTTTCTTTCTTTCTTCTCTCTCCTTCTTTAAAAAAATTAAGTCTCATATCCACATCTGTGATCATTCTCCACATATCAAATATCTATATATTTCTGTAATCACTCAAGGGAAATCTATATTCCAAAATTTCTCTTAAATATTTCTTTGGCAAAAGAAAGTTGAATTTACTCAGCATATCACTGGATTTTATCACTGTTAAAGAAGATGTTACAGGCTTTTCTTCCAAGCTTTTCATGAAAATTGAGACAAATTTACAAGTTTAAAAAAAAATCCACAGAACTGGAAGAGTTATAAATGCTAAGATTTCCAGGATATGAAATAGTTTTATGTAAAATATGCACAAATTACTTTTTTAAGTTCCCAAAGCATTGGATTCTGGTATTACTGGTTAATTTATTTTAAATTCATGTGAAAATAAGAATTATGTCCTAAGACTCTTGATTATAAATACCTGTAAAGTAGAAACAAGTTATGTGGTACTGCTTTGAGCTAATTAGCAGAAGTCCTTCTACCAAGTAATAAATGACAAACTTTATATGTTCTGTGTGTGAGGATTCATGAGTCACTTGAAAGTGAGAATAACTTTTTGAAATTGTAGCAAAACATTTCATTTGGATGAACATTGGAAGATTCTAGTCACACTATTTGTTGATAGGGAAGAAATGAATCAATCTACTCCAGAAAAAAAGAGAATCCCCGCAGATCACCAAAATGCCAAGTTGTCAGATCAATGCTAAATTCCTCTGCATTCGGGATTTCTGACTTGTGAAGTATCATTAGCCAGTTTTCACTATATTGACTCCTATAGTATCTTTTATAACTTTCATTATGATTGCATTACAATTCAAATAAATATCTTGACTCACGAATCATGTAAAGACCACTTTGTAAAGGCCATAAACCCCCAGTGAGAAAGTGCAATTATAGTTTATATGTGTATTGGTTGTAAGTTCCTAAAGAGTGGTCTATTTTTGAGAACATGTTGTTTGTGAATATTCTCTCAAAATGTTCCCTGTTGTGGATGAAGTTTCTAATCCAGCCCTTGGCACTTTGGATTTTGTGTTCCTTTTTCGCATGCTGATCATGTACCTCTTGTCCTACGTAGCAAAAATCTTACAGCTTCTAGATGATGGCATCTGTATTCAATCACCCTAGCTGGTCTGCAAGTCTGCCCCGACTCTCACCAGGTTTAAAGGTGTCAGATGTTAGAATCATTTGGCGTTCAGATCTGTTTACACCAAACAAAAAAAGAAATTCAAATCTCTACTGTTAACTCAAGGGGGATTTTTGTTGTTGCTATTGTTATTGTTTTAAAACATTTGGGATGACTTAATTTACCTATTTTGATTTTCTTAATCGCAAAGTATTGGCAAAATGTGTCCCTCAAAATTCTATTTCTTTTGGGATTACATAAAAGGATCCATTATGTATCAATCTTATTCTGCAAAAATTGTAAATAACTTGTCACATTCCCTCACTGAATTACTCCTCAACTTACATTCTATAAATACATAATTTTAAGTCAAAATAGAACACAAATGATGTATGAAATTTAACTTTCTATGGGGCCATCTTCATGTACATGCACATACATACTGATATCATAAAATAGAATTGTGACTTACACATCTGTTTATAAATCTGTTTCCATCTAAAAGTTTATTTAAAACATATTATTGATCCAATGTATACATTTGTGTTATACTTTATATGATTGCATAGATTCCATTATACTTTATGCACTACAATTTCTATCAACACTCTGCTGATGTTGTCTCATTTCTATTTTTTCCTAATTAGTGTTGCAATAGATGTATTTGAACCTAAATATTAATCTTTTGTACTATGATTTGACCTACATATTATTATCAGTGAGTTGCTGGATTTAGCAATGTATACTTTTAAAATTACTAATATTCACAAATATTTTGTAAAAGAAACATTTTCTATTACTTTTAATGTTTTTATTTATTTGAGTTGCATACTGAGAGAGAAAGAGAAGGATATAAACACATGCACTCAAAATTTCTGTGTGCTGAGTTACTACCCAAATAATCTGCCATCTGCCAGAACTAGGCTGAGCAAAAGCTATGAGGGAGCCCTGCACTCACGTCTCCCTCCTGGGCAGCAGAGACCTAAATGCTGAAGCCATCACTGCTGCCTCCCGGGAGTAGGAAACCAGTATCAGGACTGGAACCCAGGCACTCTGGTGAGGGACACCGGCATCTCAACCACTGTCTTAAATGCTAGTCTAAATGTCTTATCATTACATGTATAAGCTATGCATAGAAGCCACATATAACAGTATTGCAGGTATCTGGACCAAATCAGTTGAACAAATACTTTTATGTAAAAGATGGCATAAGTAGTTTATATAAATATAGTACCTAAGGCATATATTCAAATGAAAAAATGTATGTTGACACAAAACTGTTATTATCTGTACCCTAAACCAACTTCAATCAGCAGCACAGGGTATATTTTTGAGAACAGACAGACCTAGCCTTTGAGCAACATAGTGTTTTAGTTTTATAGTCACAAGACTTCACCAATACACTTAGTCTGTTATTTTATTTTTTACAATCATGCTTGTAAATGAGCTCAGCAACCTACAAGATCTTGGTTGTTAAATTTGCTGGCACAGTGAATGCAGGAAGCACTCATGCTGTGAATTTAAATGCATTGCTTTTTCCTTTCCCCTCTTTGTCCTTTGAGGCAAAGCTCTGTGTAGCACAGATCATCCAAACAGTTGATTTTCCCTTTACATTACACAGAATCACATTTTGTGGCTTTGTGAAAATGCCATGGAAACTGATTAAGGTCTATAAAAGGGAAAAATAATAGTTATTATTGTGCCAAGGAAGATTTAGTGACTAAAATTTTTTGGAAAACCATTAATAGGAAAATGTATACAGGTGTACAAATTTTCTTTCTTTTTAAATATTTGCTTTGTTTTGTGAAAGGTAGAGTTACAGAGAGAGAGGGAGGGAGAGAAAGAGGTCATCCATCTGGTAGTTCACTCCCCAGGTAGATGCAACAGCTGGTTCAGGCCCATGCTGCAATCAGGAGCCAGGAGCTTTATTTATGTGGCTTATTTATTTATTATGTGGTTTCAGGGTCCCAAAGATACAACCATCTTCCATTGCTCTTCCAGGCACTTTATCAGGAATCTGGATCAGAAGTAGAGCAGCTGGGACCGAAAGACAGAGCACCCATAAGGGATATCAGCATCGCGGGCCACCAGCAACTTAACTGGTTGTACCATGATGGCCCACAACACATTTTCTTAAGTCTAAAAGGAAATGTTGTAGAATTTAAATAATGTATTTCAAAATCAGGTAGCAGAATTCAGATCAGACAACTTGATATTGGATAGTACAGCTGTACGCTAAGATTAAAAGGAAAAAAATCTAGGAGAAAAAAATGTATTTTAAAAAGATTATTAGTGTCTCCCTTTGTTAGTATCTGTATATAGTTTTTTGACATTAGACAATTCTGCTACTTCGTGGTCACTTTAGAATTCTTGAATAATTGCTATGGCATCTGTGTTTGCATGCCTGTTTTATATAGGCATGCATGTCCTATTTGGTAGTACTCATGATCTTTCAAATTTTCCTTTTTTTTCAAAACAGAGAATTAGTTATACATACCTCATGAGAACTGATGATAGAATAATCAAGTGAAAGGTAAGACTGAAAAACAAAATCTGAAGGACAAAGATAGAAGTGATTTGAGACAGGAAAGACTCCTGTATGTATATACTACTTAATAATAAAAACATAAAGATAGATATGAATAGATCCATATTTTTGTTAGCACTTATACAGAACTATATAAACATGTGAGATTATTCCAGAGCATTTGCCCGAAGACATAAATGTGCATTTTTGTTATTGTGATGGCATCACCAGAGATTCCATGATAGTCTTTTGTTGTTTTCTTTTCCAGAGTCTACCACTGAAGAAGATTCCATGCAAAGCCAGTGCACCCTCGGGCTCTTTTTTTGCTCGAGACAATACAGCAAATTTCCTGTCCTGGTGCCGAGATTTGGGAGTGGATGAAACATGTCTATTTGAATCTGAAGGTTTGGGTATGTATTTCCTGCTAATCAAATATTGAAATTATTTTTGTCATTGTCAGAATAGCCATTGCTAGGTTTTTGTATCGTGCCATTTCTTATCTTTAAAACATCTACAAATAGATGTTCACCTTTAAGTATTTAGGAAACCATGGAGTGAAGAGTTGAAGAACAGAAATGCAGAGGGATTACCTGCAAAAGAAGAATAATAGAAACCTCTTGAGAAAGCTAGCAAATGTCCACCTAAACATATATAGATTTGTATAATCAAGATTGGTCAAATATGGACAATTAGCATCGTGTTGTAAAATCCTGAAGTGCCTCTTTGGTAAAGAAGCTCCATATAGATGAAACTCCTTATTAATGGTTTGTTAATTAGTTAGCTTCTTCATGGCATAACCTTTTACTACAAAGCATTTTTAATTCATTATTAAAGGCCAAGTAATTTGCTTTCTTAGTTATGAAAGTGAGTATGATTTAGTATCAGTTTTCTCATGACTGGTGATTTCTTTTGGTACCTGGGCAAATATAATTTTCAGATTGAATCCTAAAAGTAAACATAATAGTAAATTTTCTTTACTGAGCTGTAAGTATGGCTCAACATTTTTATGTGTGCTTCATGCACATTATTTCCTCGGATGGTTTTTAAAAATGCCACTCAAAAGTAAATGCATTCCATTCCGAACTGTAAAGCCTGAAGACACTTGCATAATGATCTTGGACTATGAATAGAGACTCTGTAGTATATGTAATCATGTCAGCAAGAGATTTGAGATGGTTAGTTTCTTCATTGTTTGACAGATAAACTGATGTTACACAAAGAAAGTCTGGTACTTTATACATATATGTAACCATTGCGTATTTTAAGAAAGATCTGTTCTATATTACAGCTTAGCACATAACATGGAGTTAAAATCCGCTTATCTCTCCAGAAAGTTTAATACATTTTTCAAGGTTATAAAGTATTTCAGTCACTTATGAGTGAGTACCAAACAATCTTATGAGTACCAAACAAAATCAAACAATCAGGCTTTCTAATTTTTTTTTTTGCTCAATTAAAATTATAGATTTGATATTTCTGCTGCTCAAAACAGGACATGAGGTGATATATAATAGGCCCTGGGGACAAAGAAGGGAGCCAATATTAGAGCATTGACTTTAGGATTAGGCGGAGAAAGGAAACAGCTGTGTCCAGAGTTGTTCATGCTAATCAAGGACAATGAGAAATGCCCTTTCCCCAAGTTGAACCTTGGATTTTTCTTATTATTCACTGTGGGGGAGGAAATGACTGAGCTGGGCTGATGTCCTCAGCCTCTGTGGATGCAGAATTGACTTTTCTTGTTACAATAACACTGTGTACTCTGCTTGATGTCTTTCACACTTCAGGTTTGAAAGTGAATTTAGGGCAAGGTGTTTTGTTTTTTTTTTAATTCCTACCTCAAGATTTCATTTCAGTAGCACACTAGATGAAGCGAATCCTTTGTGTTCTAGTGTTTTGAACAGCAAATAAAATGAAAAGCTGCCCTGACGAAGAGAAAAAAAAATGTCTTTGAGTGAATGATGAAGTAGATCTCTACACTGAGTGTGTGTGAAGAGGCTGCTGTATTTTGCTCTTCAAAGGTCTTTGCCTGGATAAAGCCTCCTTCTTGTGGCACCTGACATGCTACCCTGTGCAGTGCTTTTCCTTATACAATTACTAGTCACAGTATCTTGATTCAGACTCGCTTGATCTGTTGTCTTGCCACATCAGATCTCCGTAAAAGGGAGAAATGCAGTAGGAATAAATTGAGAAGTGTGGACAGAATGTGGACATTCCATGTTCTTCTCTCAGACTTTTCGTTCGGTTGGCTTTTGGAGACAACTTCTGACGTCACACGTCACACGTACTCAGCATTTAAGCCTACGGATATCTTCTTTTTTTTTAAACATAAATTTATAGAATAAATGTGACATTTAAAAAATGAATACAAAGAGTTTTTTTTTTTTTCATGAATGTGTCCATAGTCAACCCTTCTTATTCTCCTGGTTCCCCCACCACTGGTCTTTCCCATATTATTACTTAGTATAGTCCTTCAGCAACAGTCACAAATCCACCATTCTGCTATTTAAGTGCATCATGACGGTGTGGGTATAAACCAAGGTAGAAAGTCCAGCATCCTATTGTTATGATATATTTAAGAGTTTCACTGGGAGTCCTCCTTTTATTCAGGTGTAGAGTTGCATACTGCAATGTATCTCCATAGAAACCTTGAGAGATAATGTCTCTCTTGCGAAATGTCAGTCCTTAGAGCCTACCTTCACTCTATCCCTAATAATGTCTCAGGTTAAGAGTATAAAAAGTAGCCAAAGATCATGTGCAGCCTACTTACTAAAAATTTATAAAAATAGACTTAAGTTACAAAGATGTTGATACATTAGTAGTAAGATAAACGTACGTAGGAACTTTGCAAAAAATAGAAAAATATTACATTTGCTGTTAATGAGTGTATGGGAAACCAGGATCTTCTATACCTTGCAAATGAAAATTAGATATCGGTTTTCTTTCATTAGAAGGCATTATGACATTATATGTCATAGGCCTCCAAGGCATGTAGACCTGATTATATTTTAATATTCTAAAAATATATTTGAAAGAGAGTGATACCAAAATGACCAATGAAACTTTTTTAAAAACAGACACAAGAATCTATGATTTTGTTGGTACTTAGGTAAGAAATACATAGTGATCCATAGGGATTAAACAAAAATAATATCCTTGAAAATATTTTAATATGGGAAAATATATTTTATGAACATAAAGATACATATTTATGTCACACATATAGCAAAATTGATATTGCTAACGTGAAAAAGTGATAATTGAGTTGTAACTGTATTTAATTTTATTATTTAAATTTAGGTAGCAACAGCTTATGCATAAAATTTGATTTATAAGCAATTCATATCTATTTGTACTATGCAGCAACTGGACCAATGCGTGTGGGAAGTAATTGACGTAAGATTTTATACAAGAGCAAAATAGAAGGGCTTTTGCACATTGTTGAGAGTAAACTGACACTTTAATTATTATGGGATTTCATACTGCTGTGATAAATAGTATACATGTTTGCATGCTCTGAGGAGCGTGTTCTCCAGCTTTATGCAACATGCATTGCTTATTCTGATATCTACTCTTCAGACTGTGCATAGAGAAATCAGTGACTGGAGAAGATATTCTTTTTCATGTCTCTGACTCATTAATTATTGACTTTGGTAGATTCTTTGAAATTATTTGGGAGTTTGCCTTAGGTTAACAAAAAAATGCATGACTATTTCTTCAACCTAAAAGTTTGTAGTTTTCCACACTACAAACAAAATATTGCCCAGTAATTATTTTAAGATAAGTGAACTTTCAGGTGAGAAATTAAAGAAAAATGTTAAGAAAGTTCTAGCTATAAAAACATTTCTATTTTCAGTTTCATACAACTGTAAATTGTATTGTATTATTCTGTATTAGTAATGCAACAGAAAGTGTAATATTTTCCAAGTGCTTGTGTAATTAAAATTCATGTAAAAATAATGCTGAATATTTTATGGTTTATTTTTAATATTTAAACTTAAAGCAGAGATTTGTGACTTATTTCCAACCTTAAAAATGTTCCTAACTTCCATGTCATAAATTTAAGGTTCTTCTCTGATAGTTTTCCAGCCTGTTTAAGCAATGAACATTTTCTTAAATTATTGATGTGCTTATTTATGATGTTTATTGGTTGTAATTACAATGGCACAATGATTTAGAAAGTGTCAAGTTCATTCAGTTTTTGTTCCAGAAGCGTATTTACTTTGCTTTACATGTATAAGTTCTGGGGAGTTAGAGATTGGGGGAAAAACAACGGGGATATTTCAAAAACCACTTTATTGCTTGCAATAATTGTGTCTGTATCACTATGTCATTGGATAATTATAGGATTTGAAGGCCTGTGACTATTCTTCACCTATTGCTCTGAGAAAGAATCTACACAACAAGTAAAGGGTTTGCTCTCTGCTGTGTAGCATGCGAATGTGTGTCATTTGCCTGAGTGTAACTTCCCTGTTTTGACTTTGCCCTGTGTGTGTTGCGTGGTGCTGTCTTCTTTTGATGCATTAGTCTGATAAGCATGGTCTCCCAACAGCTTTTGTTCTACTGAACAGAAGCCAGCCTCAGATTCAAAGGCAAACATCACCTACCTGCACGATTGGCTGGGGTGTTGCTGCAAAAAAGTGAAATGCGTTATAGGTGAAATTATATAAACATTAAGATTTTCCATTTTCTATTTTAAAGTCATCTATTGCATCAGAAAAAGAATTTATGCCTAGCTAGCAGTGTTTGTCTTGTCCTGACAGTTGTCTATACTGAGGACTCTGAGTATGTCTGTGAATCAAAATGTTATTGTTTTTATTAGCATTGATTTATGATAAAAAATGTTAAGACATTCAGCTCTGAGTTACTTATATTCAATTTACTTCCTTCCTGGGATCATCTTCATTTAGTATTTTTGTGCTTTGTTTTCAAAGCTGTTTCATAAAGCATTAATTGATTAGCATCCTAAATCGTTCTTTTTAAGTTTTATTTGATTTTTTTTCTTTTCCCTTTTCCCCTTCTTTTTCTTTCCTTTTCTTTTTTTTTTTTAAGATTTATTTTTATTATTAATTTTATTGGAAAGGCGGATATACAGAGAGGAGAGACAGAGAGGAAGATCTTCCGTCCGATGATTCACTCCCCAAGTGAGCGCAACGGGCCGATACTATGCCGATCCACAGCCAGGAGCCTCTTCTGGGTCTCCCATGCGGGTGCAGGGTCCCAAAGCTTTGGGCCATCCTCGACTGCTTTCCCAGGCCACAGGCAGGGAGCTGGAAGGGAAGCGGGGCTGCTGGGATAGAACCGGTGCCCATATGGGATCCCGGGCGTGCAAGGCGAGGACCTTAACCATTTGCGCCACTGCGCTGGGCCCTCCTTTTTTTTTTAAAGATTAATTTTTTTCTTCTTTTTTTTT